AACGTGCATCTTTCGCAATGTAGAGTATGCCATCCGTCTTACCGTTTACATGACTTAAGACAATGAAGGATTGGTCCATCGGCACATGAGCTTGATCACGTCCAGTTCCCGCAGTAAGTGCAACACTCAGCTTTGGGAAGGGACAGTGGGGTTTCGCCAGGGAAAAACCCGAAATGGTAAGGCCTAAACCCTAAACCCCTAAATCCCTAAATCCCTAAACCCTACACCCCTAAATCCCTAAACCCGCAAGCTGTGTGAAGCCCTGCCCAGTATCCAATGTCGCTCAGGCCTGGGACGATGCCTCGAAACCTCAAAGATTCTGAACCCCAAAGCTTTATAAAATGCGCCTAATGCAGGGGCCTGAATAATTAGAATAGGGCTTTTGGGGTATATTGTACTATACTTATAATACGGAACCCCTCAAAAATAGTATAGGTAGTCATTGTAAGGCCCCTATATTAACATGTCCCGAGGCACGGCATTGCTTCATCAGCCGATCCAGCTCCAGAGGTTTCGACGAGCTGGCTGCCTTGAAAACTCCTCTTGCGGTTGGAGGCTTATGTAACTGGTTTCTGGGCTTTTGCTCAGGGTTTTCTGAGGGTTTGAAAGGTTTTTCTGGGGCTCATAGGGGTTTTGTGAGCTACGAAAGTTTTGACACGGGGCTCGGGCTGTGGCATCCCGGGGTTGAGGGCCGAGCGGCTTCGCCTTAGAAATGGGGACAACCGTGGTGATGGTCAGTTAAGGTAAGCGGTCTCCTGTGATAAGGATAGCAGTGGTGGTAGCAAAGCTTGCGCTGTTTTACCAAATTCCTAAATGCGTCCTCTGTATGCCCGCCAGAAGTCTCGAATACAAGCCCTACGTCATGTTCTAGTCACGCATGCGCCTCTAAACAATTGGGAGGACAGGTGCGCGCACGTGTCCGAAACCATCTCTGGAAAGCCCTGGCACCGATGTTCTCTAGTCCTTGGCAGAACTCATCCGTCTCCAGTGACCCGCCGCCATCGAAGTCCAGCATCTCCTAGCTGGCAGCAGTGCTGACGGGCTCCAAGATCACAGCAGCTCTGGTGTCGGAATCTGAAACCCTAGACAAAAGCCCTAAACCCTAATCTGAAACCCCAAAAGCCCTTAACCCTACGATGTGAAACCCTAAACCCCAATACCCCAACAGCCCCAAAACCCTACGTTCCGCGCTGCCGAGCGGCGAAGAGCGTCTGGATGTCTTCCGTTCCCGCGATTTCGAAGAGGCTCTGCTTGACATCCTCAGCTCGGAACTGATGTGGGTGATGTAGGGGCCTTATCATAATTAGAATGGGGTTCCTTCAAAAGGTTCCTGAAAAGGGATACTATAAGGGTTCTATGTAGGGGCCTTATTAATTCAAACAGGGTTTTTGGGGTCTGTTCTAGTATCATTATAATCTGGAGCCCCCAAAATAGTATAGGCAATTACTTAGGTCCAACATTAGGTGTGGAGGTCTTGAGGACAAGGGACCTTTCTATCTGGAGCCTTAAATAGTAGGATCCTTAGATTTCAAAAGGCCCCTAAAGAAGGAGCTCCCCCTGATTCGAAGAACTCCCCAACATGTCGACTCGAACTGCACCCGTCATGCGCAAGATTTTTTCATTCCTTGTTCTTGTCTCTGGCTACTGCCACAAGGCTGCATCCGGTGCAGCCATAATCTCGTCGAGGGTGACCTCGCCCGACTCGTCCTCGTCGAGCCTTGAATGTGTTTGGAGCTCGGTTTAGGGCTTAGGGTCGAGGGTGTAGGTATCTCTTATGAGGCTCTGGACAACCCTTCGGCAGAGACATTCAGTTGCTGGCCAGCGTTCCTTTTGGCACCCATGCTGTTTTGATGTATTGAGGCTGTGCACATACGTCTTTTCGCAACAGAATCAATGGCCGTGAGCTTTAGATGTATGGGGGAAGAGGCTGCGGGATGTCTGAGTCTGAGTTCCCTGTCCAGGTCCCCAGTCTCCTTGGAAGCAACGTTCGAGCAACCCTAGAACAACAACGAACGTACAGCTTCCCACCGACTTGCCAGAGAATCCCTTCCGCCGATTCCGATCGGTGGCGCGACCGAGCAGCTCTTCGAACATCAGCTGCAGCTGTGCCTGGCTCGCGATTAGCAATCCCGGGTCGACGATGCTGAGACCCGCCGGGTAGGGTTCAAACCTGTAGGTTTTGGGGGTTTATGCGGGATTCATGTTCAGGGCAATCGTCTTCTGCCGTAGACCCCGGGACGAGGTGTCAGACGTCTTTGTTTCAGGCCTAATTCAAAGCGACTCCGTTTGCCTCTGGCACATACTCAAGCTGCCTCAAGCTGTTGCACGATCCCATGCCCAAAATGCTCAACAGTTGCAAACTGTAGCACTCATGGATTCAGAATGTTTAATCCTGATGACAATGGCCTTGCTACTACGATACAAGGGCGGTCATAAAAAACTACTCACACGGTGGAAACTCAAGGTCACATGGCCTAATCATAGTCAGGAACACCAAGCAGCTGCAAGGCGATACAAAGGCTGCTGCGACGAGCAAAGACTTTCGTTCACAGACTCCAAGGAACCACAAACCTAGGGCACAAAATCACAATTTCAATAACAACAACAACAACTACTACCACCACCACGACTACTATTCCTATTACTACTACTACTACTACTACTACTACTACTACTAATATTAATGATAACCGTCATCATCATCAGAACCGTAGTAAAAGGAAGAACGATAACAATACTACGAACAATGTTACCAATAATAGCACGACTAAGAATAAGAATAGTCACAACAATGAGAATCAGAATGACAAGAACCCCTCCGTTCCCCTAAAACTCGGAGGGATGGCCATCTGCCGCTTCTTCCTGGCCTGTGCTGCTGCCGCTTGCGAGCGTCATAAGGCGCTTCACATTTTGGGATGGAGTTTCAAGCTTCTTTTTTTAGGGACTTCAAAAGGGTTTGGTGTAATTCATACTGTACTCTTGCAGGGGCTGTAAAGGCGAACAGATACTAAATTCGCCTCGGCTCCGGCCGAAGCGGTCAGAGGTTCTCATAACGATTCCCTGTTTCCCCACCTCTTAATCCCCTCCCCACTAATCCACCCCTCCGTATCTGGGCTGGCTGAATGCCCCCCCGCCCCAAAAAATTGGATTTCGAGTTGGCGGCCCCTTGTCGGGAGGACGCCCCGACAAATTTGGACCCGAACCAGCGCCCCCGCCCCTCCCTGCCTGCAAGGCAAGACAGGCTAGCTTGCATCACTCGTGAAGTTGATGCCGAAGACTGGGAATTTTTCAGGCTGGTGTCTTGTACTGCAAAGCTTGATGCCCCTGCCAACATATGGGAGGTTGCCTACGAGACCAGTGAGCAGTGTAATATGATGTTTATAGTAACGTCTGTGGGATGATTCAGGGAATCTGCCACCTTTCGCGTGGGATTATTGCTCGGGGGCTCAGCATGAAAAACAATGCTGACATTAAAGAAACATTCTGAAGCAAACGCACTCATTCACTCAAGACCTCAACAAGGTGACCTACCTGATGCTTTCCGAAACAATGTACCTGCTTCAAGTACAGCCGGGCAGAGGCGGACGACGCGAAGCGTTTCAAATAATCAGTCAAACGCCTATATATTAGGGCTCATGGCGGCAAGGTCGTCTAGAGAGTGCAGTCCTTCGAGCAAGTTCCCATAATGTCAAGCTTTGGTTTATCTGCCATCCTGGTCATCTCGTGTGGTATGACGGCTTAGGATGATGTTGTAGAGGATTTACGGTGCTTTCACACCAGAAACTCTAGACTCTAAACGCACCCCGGGAGCTGCGGAAGACTCCGTGTGGAAGTGTACGGGTGCAAGTGTGGGGCTTGCGGAAACTCCGTCTGTGGACTTCGCGGAGGGCTCGGGGATTGGTCCCTTGCCCCTTTTCACCAACTGTTCAATGACTCGCCGTGCTACGCGAAGACTCAGCTTACAAGACCAGTTGCGCTACCCCTTGGGCGGTAAAAGACTACAAGACAATCTAAGTCATGGGAGGGAAGAACCCAACAGCCAACCCGATCGGCAGTGGTCCGACAGCACGAGAGTGCAGCGAGCCCCCAACAACTGCGACTGCCGTGGCCGAGAAAGTAGCAGTATTTGAATCTCGACCAGCTAGGATGAGTTTACAACTCTCTAAGGCACGGTGTGCATGTACATAGAAATATACATATACATACATACATATACATACATATATATATATATATACACACCATACATGTACACACGCGCACACACCCACATGAGAACACATACATATGTTCAGATAAATGTGCGGGGGTGAATCAACACATAAGCGTTAACATGTTTAACCGTTGAAACATCAGCACGAATAAAAATGTAGGTATGCATATACCTACAAAGCTACACAAAGAAGGAAGCCCTGCTTGGAGGTTCATGGGTGGTTATAAGTGGGGTCATAAGCAGGGTAGCTTTAATTAAAAACCCATATTGGGGGACGACTTATAACTCCAGCCACAGCTACCCATGAACCTCCAACCCTAAACCCTAAACCCTAAAACCAAGTAAGTTACCCCTAAGTTACCCCAACGCCCCTGCAGCGCCTGCTCATAGGTCTTCCGCACTTCTTTGTCCTCCTCTGCAATGGCCAGGGCCCCTTCGACCTCGGTCGTCTCACTTTCAGGTTCTGGGTGTTGCTATGCATATCTTTATATGTGTGTAGATATGTGTATATATATATATATGCATACATATATACATATACATAATATATATATATATATATATGCATATATATATATATATGCATATACATATATATATATATATGTATGTATATATACATATAATATCCACACAAACAAAGCCTAAAGGTATGAAGTGCTGCTTCAGACTCCTCCTACGGTTTTGCTGAATCTCATTCCGCCATTGTACACATGCTTTGCCAAAACCGACAAGAGCGACAGTGATCATACCACATGGTCCACATCATCCGTGCACGCCCGGATGCCATGATGGCCGTCACGAGGTTCATGAGGGCAATGGACAAGACCAAGAGAACCTGAGGCCAAGAGGCTTGCTTCTCGCATGGGAATCGAGCCCTGTACCTGTAATATAGGGGCCTTCAGTAATAATTAGAAGAGAGTTTTGGGGCCCATTACACTATACTTCTGACAAGGAACCCCCAAAAGGCCCCTACATTACCTGGGTCCGGTCCTTCACAGGTAGCAAGGAAGGACGCATCCACATGATCTGTCTAGTCTTTCTGGGCCACCTTTGTGACGGACATCCGCAAACCCGCAGTCAACCTCAAGCCCTACACACCTAAACCCAGAACCTTGAACCCGGCAAAGGACACACATTCAATCAACTCTGGCTGAGGCCGTGTCGCAGGGAGGGCACCGGGCACTTGGGTGAGGCTTTCGGGATTTACGGACTTACCAAGATCTGGTTCATGGTTGGGTTTAGGTACCCTTAAAAATGTAAAATGTTACCCAACTATGACAAAGAGATCTTCGGGACTTTCACTGGCTTAGGGTTCGGCTTGGGCTTCGAGTTCAGGTCCCCCAGGACCATGGCCTCAACTAGGCACTTGACAGCCCGAAGCTTTCAGGGCCCTCCTGTCGGTCTGCAGGGCCTGAATTTTGGGGTATGTTATACCATAATTATAATAAGGAGCCCCCCCAAAATACTATAGGGTTTAGGGTTTAGGGTTTATAATAAGACACCCCCCCAAACAGTATAGGTAATTATTTAGGCCCCTACATTAAACCGAAACCGGAGTGGCCGGGGACCCGGTGCTGTCTTGGAGGCTCAGTGCTATCTGGCCAAAGGTAGCAGTCGCAACCGGGGCATCATCGAACCCTACACCCCAGACCCCCAGAAGGATCTAAAAAGTAGATCCCCTAATTAGGGACCCTAACTACTAAAGGGTACTTTAGAGGAACCCCCTTAGGGGATCTATTTTTTAGATCCTTTTGGGGGTCTGAGACACTGTGTGAGCTGTCCCAGACTAGCAGCCGTCATGAAGTAGAAGAAAAGGAGAGGTCTCTGCTGGATCAGCGGGCGGTAGATGGTTCCGATGCCTGCAGTCGAGAGACGCTTGGGGTCAGAAAGTCTTGAACAAAAATAAATAAGGAGGTATAAATCAATAGGCACATATAAATTTACAGTGTAAAGTTTGTGAAAATAAACGAATGTAAATAAGTAATATATATATATATACATATATATATATATGTATATATATTTATATATATATATATATATGTATATATATATATATATTATAACAGATACAGATAGATTAACATAAACTTTCGTAAATATTCATCAAAAACTTCTGTAGAACAACTTTTGCACATCATTCGGAGGCCTCAACTTTGAGGCTCCAAGGTCTTAGCAAAGAGGCTAAGCAGCGGTCTGAAAGGAAGAGAGCCCGGCAAACACAGGGTTCAGGGTTTAGGGTTTAGGGTTCAAACACAGTGTTTTGTTAGAGCCCCAAACATCAAGGGACTCACCAGGTTTCGAAGGCAAGAGTTCGACTTTTTCCTCTTTCTTGTGACTACGGCCTAAACCCTAAACTTTAAACTTTAAAACCCTAAAACCCAAAAACCCAAAACCCTAAACCCTTTTTTGCCCTGGAAGCAGTGAAACGGCTTCTGCTCCGCTCCTGCCATGGCCGCTCTTGGAACCCAGAGAGCCCACTAGGCCCTTAATTAAGGAATAGACCTTAGATCATAATATTAAGGCCCCTATAATTTAAGGCATATTCCGTAATTAAGGGGTATTGGGCTCTCTTGGAAAGCTTCTGCGCTCAAGGGGAGCCATAAGTCGAAGGTTAGAAGTATGGAAACCCTAATATGGACCCTTAGGCCTTTCTAGGGAGCCTTACGGGGACATATCGGGTATATGGTAGGTGTCCAGGGATCTCAGGGTTAAGGGCCCATGCTAGGGGCCCGTGGTTTCAACCGTAGAATGAAGACTTGAGAGCAAGTGGCTATGGAAGGATAGGGATATCCCCATGAAATGGTTATGCCTACCCATGTCCTTTCGGTCCCTGACAAGTGGCTATCGAAGGTGAAGAGCTGCATGAGCGTAAACATCGCGTCGTCCAGCGCTCCGAAGTTCTCGACGACCTGAAGTTCTTGCGAGGCTCGGAACTCCGAGGGGCAATGTAATATAGGGGCCTAAATAATTTGAATCGGGTTTTGGGTATTACTAGACCATACTTATTCAATAAGGAGCCCCTGAAATAGTGGTGGTAATTGTTTAAGCCCCTCTAGTAGTGTGGTTTCTGGAGCAATGCGGATGCTGTCGGACGGCGGTCGTGCCACTGCAAGTAGCATTGATAAAGAAGAACATGGCTGAGGATGATGGTCATGATGATAGCAATGAAGCCGAAGGAAGCTGAAGAAAAACAATGAGGCATCTCAGTCAGTCTAATGTAGGGGCCTCAATAATTACCTAGACTACTTTGGGGTTCAAGTTCCTTTCTACAAATATAGTATAAGGGGCCCCAAAACCCTATTCTAATTATTAAGGCCCCTATATTAGTCTTCCTCTCTCTCTCTCTCTTTTTCTCTCTCTCCTTCTCTCTCTCCCTCTCCAGGCTCAGCTCTTTGAGATGGCTACCAAGTATAGGACATTTTTATGTGGGTAGTTACCGTTATAGGAGCCTTGTAGAAGGTCTATGTACCTTATAGAAGCCGTATAGAAGCCCTATATACCCTAAACTCCCCACCTGTAGTTTCCTTTAAACTGAAGGATCAGAACCCTAACATAGAACCCTTATAGTAACCCTGATAGTACCCCTTTTAAGGAACCCTTTGAAGGAACCCTATATAGTTTCCTGTAGTTTCCTTTAACCAAGACGCCTGAAGCCCTGGAGAGCTCCGGGCTTTAGGGCCCCAAAAAAGCACATAAGCAAAAATTAGGACCCGGATATCCCATATAAATCCCCTTATAATGAAGCCCAATAAGGTAGGGATACCCCTATAAAAAGCTTATGCTTATGTGCTTTTTGGGTCCCTAAGGCTTGGACTTCGGAGCTTCGGCTGAGCTCGCAGCGGCGAGGTTGTAGGGATGGTCTGCCGGCAGGGACAGGTCGTAGGTGATCATGTCCATTCTGCAAAACAGGGTTTCGGGGTTAGGGTTTTGGTCGGTTTTGGATGTCCATTCTGCAAAACAGGCTTTCGGGTTTAGGGTTTTGGGGGGTTTTGGTGTTTACGTCTTTGGAGGGTTTTGGGGTTTGGGGTTTAGGGTTTACAACATGGCTTGAAAGGGCGCCGGGCTCATTCAAGAGATCAGGGGTTGCAGTAAGGAGGCTTTGCATGGGGGTGGGTGGTACATATACAAGCTTTGACATCCCCGATTCAGGGGTACGGCACTCTACTCAGAGCTAACCATGAACTTTCAAGTAGGATTACAGTAACCGTAGCTGTGTATAAAAAGCTGAACCCTGATTCCCTAAACCCCCCTCGCAGACTAACAATGATAATGCCAAAAGACCACCACCACTACTAGTACTACTACTACTACTACTACTACTACTACTACTACTACTGCGTCTACTACTGCTGCTGCTGCTGCTGCTACTACTACTACTACTACTACTACTACTATTACTACCACTTTACACTGCCACTG